GCTCCAACTCTGTTCTACCGTGTGAACCAAAGTAGGTTATCAGGCAAAGATCCACAGGTTCATTTCAGCCACTCAACCAAACCAATCCATGCTAAAACACTTACAGAGCTGTGCCCCACAGTACACATTCTTTAGCAGAAGAGTAAAGCCTGAAGTCTGGTATGTAGGTTTATGGCTCTGCAGCTTAAATAAGCTGGTTGGAGAGTTTTGTCTCTGGGCACATAGCTGAGCATATAAGAATCAGAATGTACATAGTAGGTATCTAATTGAGGTGCCTTGTTTCTGGAAGACAAATTAATACTTTGGGCTTTGGTTACTTGGGTAGGTATTTAAACTGAAATTACTGAGCACCACTGCTTTCTGCTGGCTTCAGTAGGGCGTGAAAGCTAGGCTACTATACCTTAGGTGCCTCAAAACAGGGAGCAGGAAGCAAACCTTAGATTCACACTCTGAAAATTTTTAACTTCACTGGTGTGGTAAAAATTGCTTCTGATACTGGAATTCATCTTGGGTGGTTTTTGTTTAATTTTATCACTATTCTGCAATGGATTGTAGCATGTGGGACTTTCTACAGGGAGTTACAGCAGCTCTTCTCGAAAAGAAGGTGGGTTTTTTCTCATCAGTTGTAACATGCAGGAAATACTAAATCAGTCAGTAAACCTCTTGTTATATATATCTCTATAGGTATCTTTCCAAAGCAGGAAGAAAAAAAAGTTGCACAAACTAGTTTTGAATCAGCAACATGCACTCATACTAACTTTTCAAAGTCATGATTTCAAAGAAAAGTTAGCTCTAAAGAGAGGATTAGACACACAGAAGAAAATAATTCCATGTTCTTTCCATGCATAAAAATCAGAAAATAAGCATGGCAAAATAATCATATTCCAGTGCAGTGGGATATTGAAGGAGATTTTGTAGCAGCTACAACTGTTATGTCTGGGATCTGATTATACTTTTAAAGATACCAATACATTCAAATTAATACTTCATATATAGTCCAATATTCTGAATTGTTCTTAATGCTGTGTACAAGGGTATCTTACTGCAGGACAACAAAGAATAATAGGAGAACAATCTGCTAATTCAGTATAAAATAGTTACACCCAAAGCATTAACACTGTTTTTCCAATATCCTATCATTGCATGTTCAGACTTTACAAAGTGAGCAAATCATACCTGCCATGATGAAATGCGTAAGAAATGAGCAGG